CATATCTACCCGATGTTTCACAATCAAATATTTTCTCATTTTTGTTGAAAAAAAATAGAGCAAGACTTATGGGCTTACTGAGGCAAAATATCTAGTAGTTGTTAATTAAGGACAGAGGGTCCTCTGAGTTAGATTTTACTTAAACTCTCCCAGTTTGTAGAGGCTACTTCGAAGTATATGTCCGGAAATTTTTTCCGCTTACTAACATTATCTGACTGAGAAAAAGATTGATTATATAAAAAACACTTGTTAAATTTTGGGACACGGAGCCATTGTTAAAGAACTTCTTGTCCATTCTCCATTTTTCATCATAAAAGCTTGGTTCTTAGGTAAATCGATAGACAGATGTGTGGAGAATATTCATAAGAGAAAATATGTATAAATTTTTATTTTCTTCTACCTGTTATTAGCTAACTAGTTCTAATTAACGTTAATTTAGCTTAAGCTACTAGCTCAAAGTCCCATTTGCAAAATAGTGACATAGAAAAAAATTCGGGTCATACCTCATCTCACAGAAAATTTCACGAGCTACAAGGCAGGCTACTGCAAAAACTTCGAATTAGCTTTTTAATGTTCAATAAGTCTTTTAATGTTCAGTATGTTTTAATGTTCGAAAAACGCCCTGGTGAGAGACTCCGTAATTCGATGCTGAACAACCTTTGTACTAAGCGTTTTGCTTCGATATACCTGCTAAGAGCGAAACTAGCCGTAACGCTTTTTCCAAAATGCTTTTGGCTTTGAAATCTCATCTGGAAGGTAAAAGTTAAATTTCTAGATCACGCTTCATCCGAGAATTATATTAAATTATTTTCTTTATACAAGTTAATGTTCTCTATCGAACTACGCTAGAATAAACTCTTCATACCTAAAAGCGAATTTTATAATGAAGTTTTAAAAATGCGGTAGAAAAAAAACAACAAATTTATTTTTTAAACTGTAAATGTTTATTCAAAAATACAACAAATCGAAGTGTCATCCCATTACATGATTCAAAACTACAAGTCTGCAAACCAAAAGATCCTTGGAACATATACTTCGATGTCTCTACAAGCTGATGAACAATGACGAGTACGGATCGCCTTAATAATAGTTTTTATAGAGGCTTTTGGGAGATAATTGTGATAAAATACAGTTTTTAGCTGTTATCAGACAAGAAGTATATTCTCCTCATATTATTTTCTATGAATTAATAGAAAAATGACGCTTTTAGGACCCTTACTATAAAACCAAAGCAATTATTTAAATGTTTTGTCTCTGTAAGCTCCAAAGGCTTATCATATTTTTTCCAATAAATTTGAGAAAATATTTGATTGTGAAAATATCGAGTAGATCTGATTACTTAAAAGAAGTGATTGTTATTATTTAAACTGAAATCAATACGAATTATAAGAAAGGACCCAAAGCGCGTATTATATATTCGTTTGCATTTTCTTCATTTTATTATTGATTGTGCTACATGCCTTTATGTTTTCCACACTACTCCTAAACGGAACATTCGTTCCACACAGGAGCTATTACGGTGATTTCACAGACACTAATTTATGAAGAAAAGTTTTCTTTTAAGACCCGTGTACTATAATAGTCAAGGTAAGTTGTTGTAGGACTTAACACTACGAGAGAGAAGGCGGTATAAAACATTCTCAGTTAACATATTCGTATCTTCAAAGTATTAGAGCTAAAAGTTACATCATAGGAGTGAAATATTTTCTGTACAGGAAAACCGGTCATTTGGCTCATTTAGCTTTTTAGAATCGGTATTAAGTGGTGTTCGAAAGAGATAGTGTCACTGACTTTTATTAGTATCACATTTCTCAATCACTCAACCGTGTCATTCATGACCAAGGGTTAATCACTCGACTTTTGTATATAGCTACAAACATGTATATTGTGTAAAAAATGAATACTAATTGACTAAGTCATACAGCGAAAAAGAATGTAGTGTTTAAAGTGGGGATTAAATTCAGGGCATTATAACGCTTTTCTAAGCAGTTAAGAAATTCATAATTTCGTATAATATTCAATAGCTCCTAGAACGATTCCATAAGAATTTTGAAAAGATCAGAAGATTCACAAGAAAATTCGGCATGTTCGCACGTATTTTTCGAAATTTTTGCAGTTCACTTTTTTACGAAAATTTCTCTATGCAAAAATCTGATAAATCTAAAACAGCCTAACTTCTGAACCTATTCTCACAGACTTTAGTTTTTTGACTAGAAAAGCAGTAAAACGTTATGAATCCACGATTTTAGTCTTACCATCTTGCACAGAATTAAAATCTGCATTTTTTGATATATAAAGAAAGTTTCTCAGTTCAAGTCATTAACTAAAACAGTTAATTTAATTTAGAAAATTGAAAAGCCGATTGAGAACTGATTTTGTCACCAGCTGACGTAGCGAAAACATTGTATGAAGTTGTGTATCAGTGAGATCGATAGAGCATAGAATTCTCTATCTTTCTACCTAGAGAAATTAACTATTGAACCTCAGACAATGGAATAAAAATCTCAAAGACGACGTCAAAAGCACATCACAGTTCGACAACTCAGCACCATTCGAAATATTGAATGGTGCTCAAATGGGAAAAACGCTGTCAGAGATTAAAATTACAAGTTTTCAAGAGAATTCAATTCTCTATCGATTAACCTTAAAAAGAACGCTTGGAACTACTGGACGGTACCTCAAAAACAACGAACAAAAGTGGCCGGTTTTATCTGAAATTTAATCCGCAATTAATTATGAATCAATCGGATAGAAATCGGATAATTGCCACTAGAATTCTGTACCTTGACTTTTCCGTGAACTCACTCTCTACCTGATATTATGTCATAAATATGGTTGTCTCAAATCTTATATTTACAGTATGACTATTTTCTCCACGAGGTATGCCTATGCGAACTTGAATCTCACGTAAATGCTCAATAAGAGAGCCAATCTGATTTCGATCTTCTTTGCTTACTTGGTGAGATCAAAATAAAATTAAAAAGTAATTTGAATAGTTGAGACAGCCTATTCAAATCATCCGAGAGCAGTGAAACTTGGGATTCGATTGGATATTTTTTGAAAAGAGCTCCATTGTACAGCGGAAACGTTTTTGATATAAAAGTTCCTCTAGCTTGTCACCCACACGAAAATGTAAAGTGTGTCAAATACACAATGAGACAGTTTACCTTTTACTGACTCGCTGGTGAGAATTGTACACTGACTGAAACACTTGGGTTTTTTAAGTGCAAACTGCATTCAATTCACTGCAGACATCAAAGACTAAGAGATTAAAAAAAGCATTAAAAATAGCACAACTACTATTGTAGATCGCTTGTAAACTGACTGTAGTCTGATCAAGAAACGTCAAAGAGAATTTGTTTTCAGTGATCCTATTTTCACTGCTTTACACTGTAAAAAATAAAGTGTGCCCGCTAGTGTGCATTTCGAGTCCAAAATGATGTGCAGTTGCTTAAACGAACACTTTACAGTGTGTTCTGGGCACACTGGACTGGCTGTTCTCAGTGGGCGTTTTGAGTCCAAAGTGATGTGCAATTCCACTGTGCCCCGGGCACACTTTATTTTTTACAGCGTAGAGCACTTGTTTTATTATAGCAATACTAAGGGGAAACTTTTTCACTCAAATCATCCTCTAATTTTATTTCATCTTAGAATGGAAGAGAAAAGCATCGGTGTCGAAGTTGCTCTGTCATTTTTTCTAGTACTGAAATTCTCCATGAGAGTACTATACGAAAAGCTGACTTGAAAGTGTTGTTGGAAAGATGGATGAAAACAAAGCTCAGGATAGTAATATTTCATTCTAGCACATAGTCCAATTTTTATGTTTCTTTGGTCTACATGCTCGAGGACATTTGCTAATTTGACTAGACTCCATGGTACAAGGACGTAGACAACCAACAAAAACATATGTTGTATTTGATACTGACCGACGAGTAGGAAATGGTTTTGAAATATACCCGTGTTGTGTTTTGCAATGAAAACTATCGTGTGCGAAAACATCATCTCGTATATTTGGCCAAATTTCAGCTTCCAAAAATCCTTGATCTCCATTTCCTTCATAGAATCGAGATAGATTTCGATCCAATAATTTGTACAAAAATATCTTAGAAAATGAAGGATTTAATTGTGGACGAAAACCCCACATACCAGCAAGAACTGGAACACCATGTTGTGGATGATCACGCATAACATGAAAAGAAATATTACTCTTTAACCATTCTAAAACAGCAGCTAATTCACGCTCTGTTAATGGAGAATCTAAATCACGACTGTTCATCACTTCGACACGATCATCACCGGCTGGTAAGAACCGCCACATTCTTGGTGGAATATAATCGAGATTCATTGAATGAATGTTACAAAAATCAACCTTAGAATGTTTGTTTTCTATTGAACGTATAAAAGACTTTTCGATAGTTAAATCGTGATAAACTCGTAAAATCCAGTCTGGATAGGTTGTATACATATCAGAAATAAGTGCATTCAAGAATCGAATAGATCTAGTACGCGTATACATTTTATTTTCTTTAGGTCCAAATAAACTAATTGAAATTATTTTTTGATTAAAACCACGTAATGTTGACTTTCTACTGCATAATGTTGAATACTGATGGCTTGTTAATGATGATCGTTGTGCTAACTGCTTTGTATACCTATCGTGAAAATATTTAAACAATGGTAACCCATTAATTCGTATAATTTCTATTGATAGATAAATAACTAAAGTAAATAATAGACAATTAAGTATATATCTCTTCTTTTTAACCTGTCGTTTAATTAACATGTTTCAGGTAGTGAATAACTTAAACCTCATTAATAAAAATATTGATATAAATTAACGATTGTGAAGCTTACAGTGATCGTTATTTGAGAAACAGTCTAAAATTTCGATAGAAATAATAATTTATAAGATCTAAGATGTGACTTAATACCATTCCAGTAACATAGTTTACAGCTAATACGTCTAAAATATTCCAGAACTTCAATCATCCTAGACTATCCGCATAGTTACCAGTAACACAAAAAATAACTGCACCATTATCCTTTATCTTCTATGTTTCATCTAGATCGGGGATGTAGCAGATGCTGTGCTGGCTACAAGTCTGTCTAATATGTTAATTGCCACACCTCAGCCACATAGAGCCATTGCTGTAAAATTATTAATATCTTAAAAATCACCAAAATCTCGTTGAAATGTTGTGATGAATTGTGAAATCTTAAAATATTGAAACTGATCAAAACGGCTTTCCTCAGACCCATGTACACGCGTGATCA